CGCCCACCCCGGTGTGCCAAGCCCGCCCTCCGTAGTAAAGGGTGGCGGGTCCTGAGCCTGCTTATCCGTTAAGGAGCATTGGGCAGTGTCTCCTCCAGGTCTGAGGGGAGAGGGGCTCACAAAGCAGATGGGCACCAGCCGTTCCGCTGGGATTTTCCTGGTTGCAGTTCCTGGCATTCAGGCATTCTCCCTATGGTGGGAGAGCCCGAGACATCGTGCACGTTGGCTCCTTAGATGATTACACATCCAGTCCCGTCCCAGATAGAGGCTTTCCCAATGCTAGCGGCCCCTGTGAGGATGCAGGTCTGCCCTGAGACGCAGCTCGTGTAAATGATGAGGGGGAGGGGGTACGCGTTTCACAAACTCATCCCTCCACATCTGACTTCTCTGCCCTCCCAGGGGAACCCACACAACACTCTCAACCCACGAGCCCGGCAGCTTGCATTCCTGACGTTACTAGGCACTAAACATCACAGTCTCAATCAAGGCACTGGATGTTCGGCTCATTACAACACTCCATATCCCCCTTTGCCTTAGGACTGCAGAGGAGTAAACTGCCCACTTCACCTGGAATGCTCTCGTCCTGCAGCCAGTGAACTCCCTATGCCGAACAGTCTGCACTGAGCTGTAACACTCGGAGTGCTTTTCCCAAACCTGCAGAAGAGCTTGGTAGTAGCTGGGAAGCTGGTCTCTTGGGCCAATAAAAGAGCATCTCCCCCGACACCTTGTCTTTTCCCCCTTGAATCAAGCAGGGTTCTTTCCTCCCCAGACGTTGTGCTTAGCCCTTCGTTGGGGCTGCACAGGCGTAAGCAGGCACAGAATTTGGTTTTGCCATTGGAACTCAGGTAACCCCTCCACAGTAGAGGCCAGCTCACCCTCCTGGAGCTGTTGGTCTGAAAAGCGAATGGGGGTGTGTGTTACCTACACACTAGGGCACTCCACCTGTACCCTTCCAAGGCAGAACCCAGTTAATGTAGGCACTCCCACCCTTTCCCAGTTCCTAGGGCTCAGGGTGTAATCTTCTGCAGGCTTGGGGGGCCTTTTACCAGTGAAACAGCCAAACACAATAATTTTCTTAACTCCTGTTTATTGAGTCACCGAAACTGAATGCACACGCTAAATGTACAATGCTCACCGCTCCCAGTAAGGCAGCTGAGTGTTTCCTGGTGACCAGTCAGGGTCTGGTCATCCAGGGTCCTCCAGCTTCTGCACGATGTGATTGACAGGGTTTTGAGACCTGGTGGCTCTGATCTGTTTCGGAGTTAGGTTCCAGAAAACTTCCTTTTGGTCCCAAGTGTATCTAGCGAAATGTGATCCTCCTTAGCTATCCCTTAACCAATCGTTTTAAACTCGTGTGCTATAAAATAATTCTTTGGCCAGTCCTAATGTATTGTGAAACAATTCTTTAGCCAGTCATACCCCCACTGCCTTGGTGTGATTTAAAGCTTGCAAAATTGTTGCATAACTAATCAAAGAACCAGAGAGAAACTATACAGATAACAGTGAAGTGGGGACCATAAAGGCAAAACAACGAAGTAGTACAGATTTTCTAACAACAGGTGTTAAGTGATTCCTTGCCAGACAGTTGAAGGTCTGTAACCTAGCTCGTTAGTGGATCTAAAAGTAGCCATTCTTCTACAAAGGAATTTACAAAACTAACAATAGAAAGAAACTGAGGAACTGGCCTTCGTATGCAAATTTGACACTATCCCTCAGGGCTTGAACAAAGACAAACTGGAGGTGCCATTATATTTAACACCCAAATGACATCAAAAGCTAAGTATGGGACACTTCCAGCCACTCAGTTAGCCTCATTAGCACCAGCACTACAATTGGCAGGTACTTTCTTCCCCCCTTCCTCCTCCTTCTTTTTCTGTTATGTATTAGGAGATTCACCACCCCCTTTTTTTTTCTCCACAAAAGCTCTAAGGTGCTACAGGGTTACTTGGGGTTTTTTTGTGGGTGATGGGTACTGTTAGGTCAGGAGCGCCTTCTAAACAGCTCAATATTACATTGTTTTGGAGGAATGCCTGAGACCTTGCCAGCAGACCCCTGCAAATCCGTGGATATCTGCTTTATACAGTAAAACTCCAATAGTTCAGCATCCAATAGTCCGGCACTCCTGATAGTCCGGCATCAAAATGGCAAGAGCCTAGTGAGTGAGCTTCGGCAAAAAATGAGTCACAAGGTAACAGTGGCAGCAGCTGAACTGAGCAAAAAGGGTAAAAAAAGGCTTAAAAAAAACTAAAACATTACAGTATACTGCCTACAGTATGTACAATAAAAAGGGTTAAGAACACTTTATATATAGTATATCATATATACTGTGTGTGTGTGTGTGTGTGTGTGTGTGTGTGTGTGTGTGTGTGTGTGTGATACTCCGGCATATCTGATAATCCAACACCACCTAGGTTCCATAGGTTCCGGATTATCAGATACTGTATCTGCTTCTGTGGGTGTAGAGGTGAATATCTGTGGCTCGTATTTGTGGATATGAATTTTATATCTGCGCAGGGCGCTGCTTACAGGTGCCAAAGCTGCTAAACTGCTGCTTGCTGAAATTGGCTCGGGCAATGATGGAATGGCACAGGACAAGTCTGTGCAATAAATAGGTGCCTACTTCCCATAGATAGTCCTTGTTCCACGTGTCACCATTCCCAGGCCAAGTGTTCCCTTGTCACCGTGACGTGGCATGCAGCATCTCCTGGGGAAGCCCTGACAATGGTGAGGCAGAGTCTGCCACGCTCCTCCCCACAGTGTATTCCTTGCTGCCCAGGGAATGCCCGGCCTGCTCTGTGCAGGACTAATCAAGTACCCCCGGCCCGAAAGTGAGGGGGGCCGTGGTGTTGCTCTGAGGAATGGGTTGGGAGGAGTAGCTCTTTCAGGAGCAGTGTTCACTGGCTGCACGTTGGAGCGATCGATCAAGTACCCCCAGCCCCAAAGCGAGGGGGGCTGTGGTGTTGCTCTGGGGAATGGGTTGGGAGGAGTAGCTCTTTCAGGAGCAGTGTTCACTGGCTGCACGTTGGAGCGATCACGTCAGACATGTTGGAAGCTGAAATAGAACCGAGCGCGTGGCAGGATTTAGGTCCGTGTTGTCATTGAACTGGAAAGGAGTCCCTGGTAGGAGAGGGGTCGTGAGACTCGTTCACGTTCCGGCAGTGCATTTCGAACCCTTCCTTCAGGACTCTTTGGGGCAGTCTGCCACCGATCATTCTCCCTCATCCCCTGTAACGAGAGCCTGCTGCCGAGCCGGGGGCTAATTTTGTGGGGGGTGTGGAGGAAGGAGCTGCCTGCAGGGGATATATTTAGTCAGCCTTGGTTAATCTCCTCCATCTGCTCTCTACCTCAGATGGACAAATTGGCAGGGCTAGGAGCATGGGCTGTCTGTCCTGACTGGGCCTGGTGTTGTGGGACCTGCTGAAATCCCAACGTGCTGAGGCTCCGCTTGCCCCTTACAAAATTCCAAAGGCAAACTCAGCATCCAGCTTTCTTCGTCACAATCTGGCCAAGCCCCGGAGTTCAAGGACCCTGGATTTCCCTGCAAGGGCGAGGGATGTCAGAGAAGCACAGCACTCACAGGGATTGCAGGCTCGTGTGCTGCTAGAGCTTGAGCTAAAGCCATCGGCTTATGGAGGGGAATCGTGGCATCTGGACGTGGGTCGTGAACTCCCCTTCTTACAAATGGGGTGTAACTTTAAACGCTGCTGTCTAGGACCAGACTCAGGCTTGTGGTCAGAGTTCCTCTTACTGGTGCCCGCAGGGGCTCATCTCTGTCAAAATTTGGCCCAGATTCTGTTCATGGTTGGGCTCTTGACAGCATCTCCATTAAAGCACCGGAATGGTCAGGCCCCTGTGAAAAACTCGGAGCCATTAGGTTCTAGCAGAGCCGGGTACCAGTAGTGGGGGCATTTCAGCAGGTAGCAAGAGGCACTTTCCAAACCAGAACCTATTCTGTGGCTGCGTCAGAGTAGTTCTGATCCACAAGCTGCTTCCCCCCCAGGTTAGAAAGAGCTAAAAGGGTGGGCTGCACTCTTTAAATCAGGGGTGGGGACCACTGAGTCACGGAAAAATCAGTCAGAGGCCACACACAAGTGAGAAGTGCAAAAAACCCCACATCCCAGAATCCACACTGAGGTGGCCCCTGACGGAGGAGAAAGACACTCTCCCTGCCGTTCCCCTCACACACCAGAACCCAGGGGGGCCCAGGCTAGTAGATTTTCTGTGCTCCAGCCCTGCAGGTGAGGGTTACGGGGATGGGGGTGATGGTGGCCAGCAAGAGTGCCCCAGTCCTGGGAGGAGGTGGAGCCCTGAGCCTCAGGGGCGAGCCAGGGGCCGCATCCGGCCTTAGGTTCCCCACCCCTGCTTTAAATCCATTGCCTCCTGAATTTGAAGGGAAATGTCTCCTTGAGCACTCCCTCTGCTGGCCAGTGAGCAACAGTAACTCTGAATTCCCAGAGCTGGGCTCTCTGGCCGGTTCCCCCGTAAGGAGATAAACAAAGCCATGGTCATGGCAAGCTGCATGCGAACAGGGAGGGGCGGGGCCGGCTCTGTGTTTGGCAGCTGGGATCTGAGGGGGCGAGCGCAAAGCGTCACGTCACGGAGGCTTGAGCACTCCCTCTGCTGGCCAGTGAGCAACAGTAACTCTGAATTCCCAGAGCTGGGCTCTCTGGCCGGTTCCCCCGTAAGGAGATAAACAAAGCCATGGTCATGGCAAGCTGCATGCGAACAGGGAGGGGCGGGGCCGGCTCTGTGTTTGGCAGCTGGGATCTGAGGGGGCGAGCGCAAAGCGTCACGTCACGGAGGG